CGCGGCTTTGGCAGAGTGGGGACTCTCCCCTTCCCGCAGCCCTGAGGAGGAGAACCATGCTGCTTTGAGAAGGAGAACCATGTGGCTGTGGAGGTGCAGAGAGGATCACGGCCATTGAGAGGAGGAAGAACCGTGCTGCTTTAGGAGAGAGAACCACGCGGCCCGGACAGAGTGGGGACTCTCCCCTTCCCGCAGCCCTGAGAGGGAGAACCACGAGGCCTGGACAGAGTGGGGACCCCCACAGCTTTAGAAGGGGAACCACCACCTGGTTTTAGCAGAGATCCTGGCGACTCAGCCGAGGGTGCCGGGAACCCAGGGAGGTCTCCCAGTCGAGATGGAGGACTAACGAAGAACCAGAGGACTGTCTGAGCCATGGACTTCGTTTTCCTTTCCTGAGATACGGTACTCTGTACTGGGCAAAGGGGGAAGGAAGGAAGGACTGTGTCTGCTTGTGGGTGCTTTAAGGGACTTTAGGATTTTTGATAAAGACATTAGGTCATTACTTTAAGTTTGTATAGCATTAAATAAACATTTCCTTTCCTTTTCACAAATCTCTGGCATTGAGAGACATCTTTCCTATGGCGGCGGACAAAACGGACCTGGGGCCTTCTTTCAATAGTAGTATATTGTCTCAGGCTCCCCTTGTTGTGTTCTGTAACAATTTTATTTATATAGCGTTAGAAAATGACAAAACTGTAGAGATGGTGGTAGGTAGAGGACTGAGGTGGGGTGGGAGGTGAATGTGAATACAAAGAAGCAGCATAAAGGAGTTCTTTCATGGTGATTGACTAGTTCTACATCTTGATTTTGGTCATGTTAGGCTTTTATACTATTTTATATAATTTTTCAAGTTTAATTTTTACTACTTCCATGTAAGCATAAACTCATACTTTGTCCTTAATAATAGAGGAGATTGCTTTGTAGTAAAGTATAATACTGAACTTCTGTGTTGTTTATACCTATGGATGTACATAATCATTTTTTCACTTCTGTGCTTGTTTCTTCCACATTCACTACTTCCATAGTGATGAGTAGCTTTCCTATGTGATTTACACAATCTTTTACATTTTTCAATGGATATGAGCTTTTTATCTTAACTTTTGAACACCCACAAATAACTACCACCTTTGTAATGATTCAGAAACCAAAATTAACTCTCCACTTAACAGGCTTAATTCTCTGCAGTCCCTCTGCTCTTCTTACTCTGGTCACATCCCATAATCTTCACAGCCTGTTGTGAAATGTGCTAAGCATTTATCTCTGTGTGGTTCTTTTCTTGATGGCTAGAGGGTGGAAGTGCAAGAATGTTACCCTGCAGATCTTCACTTTATTTCTTTTACTCTAATTTGGATTTGTAAATTGTATTCTTGGGTTTATATTTAAGTAGAAAAAATATGTTCCCCAACTGTTTCAGATCCATCTACCTGACTCTGGCCCAGAGCTGACACTGGGACTAGAGGGTTGATATGCACTAGATCAGAGGAGATAGTGACAGGACAGTTGTCCTCACACAAAGGTTGATGCAAAGTCTTTCTCCCAGACTCTCTTTAGAGCAAGAGGATCTTTAGCATCTCAAAGACATGGTTTCTCTTTGCTTTATGCTGCTAATCAGTCTGATTCTTACTTAGTAGAAAGGCCTTACTTCTCTTTCAATCTTATTTCCTCTCAATGGGAGCTGAGTCTTCTTTAACTGAGAAATTTATTTAATATAGTTTAGTTGAAACAATTACTGAGGGATTAAAACTCAGATTGTGTCCAAGCAATTATTACCACTTAGAGAGACCCAGTCAAACTTTTCTAGCAGGATATACAAAAAGGTGAAAGTGATGTGGAAAAAAACTGGGATCATCAGTTATCAAATTTGTCATAGTGCTCATTTGATGATTGAATGCAGCCAGAAATTATAAAAGCTTATTGTTGGTTAGCTAGAGTGAATGTTGCTTCTGTTTGTCCCTCGTGTTTGAATAATGTGGCACAGAGACAGAATCAACCCTAGATTTACCATTTCTGGAAAAAGGAATTGTGGTAACAAGAGTCAGATAACATTCATTAAAGACATGAACCTAGTAAAAGTGGTAGTGATAACAAAGAAATATATTCTCTGAAATGCAAAATTCATTCAGAATATGTAAATATTCTCCAGTAGGACTTTATCTCATTAAGTATTTGATGATTACACTAACCCAGTTCCACTTATTGAACTGAAATGAGTAAAAAATGACAACTTATTTAAAATGGGGACAGATGAAAGAGAAAAAGACAAAGAAAGTAGTGTGAAAAAGGTCAATTTAGGAAGAAGAAACACAAGTAAAACACAGAGTTTCAACAGAACCCGATGGTTTAGGGAATGCTGAGCAGTTCAGTATTGCTTGTTCCTAAAACAACTGTAAGGAATGAGCTAATGATGCTAAAGAGAGAGAGAGAGTTCCAAATGTGGAGAGCTTCATGGGCTATGGGTTTTGAGTTTTCTAATGCAGTGTGCTGTTTCCCAGATTTCGATTTAAGGTAGCACATGGGAAGTTTTTGAAAAGTAAATGTACATATAGTTTGTGAAGTTCAGAAAAATTTCTATTATTTCATAGATATTTTTGGTAATAATATATATTCTACTATTGAACAAAATATTTATCTCAAGATAGTAAATGTAAAGAAGATCTTGGTTATATAGTAATAGAGTTAAAATGTAGGTATGGGAATATTCATTATGCTGGCATGCAAATAACTTAATTTTGGAAACTTGGTATAGCTGATTATAAAGCAGTAGTGCTTTTTTTTTAAACTTAATGTGGGTTTTTTTTAAAAGATTTTATTTATTTATTTTTATAGAGGTGAGGGAGGGAGAAAGAGAGAGAGAGAGAGAAACATCAATGTGCTGTTGCTGGGGGCCGTGTCCTGCAATCCAGGCATGTGCCCTGACTGGGAATCAAACCTGTGATGCTTTGGTTCACAGCATGTGAATGAGAAGCACAGTATCTCAATCCACTGAGATACGCCAGCCAGGGCTGCAGTAGTGCTTTTTAGGCAAGAAAATTACATCTTTTTGGCTTGCCTGTCCTTCTACTCTCCTCTCTTTCTTTTGATGAAGCTCAAGTAATATATAACAATCATTTGGGATACAAAGAGTTGAAAGTAAATGGAGCCACTTAAAAAGCTCTTGTAATCAGGGAGGTTAGAATTGTTTGGTGTCTGCACAAATACAGTGAGAGAAGAGAATGAAAAAGAGATAGAGTTAAAAAAGGAGAGAAAATGATAGGTTTATGAACACAGACTGTATCTTGTGAAAAGACACAGTTTGTTGGAGGTGGTGTAGCTTTAGGATGTTGGGATATAACTAGACAATAAAAAAGGCAGTTAGAGTAAAAGATATTGCTGTGTAGTAGTAGATGTTTGTCATTAATATTCTATAAAAATTTGAGCTAAATTAGAAGAATTTCCACCATTTCCCTTCTACCTAGCAACCTTCACTTTGAACCTCCCTTTAGGATTTCAGAGAGAGGTGAAATGTTTTGGAATATTCAGTTACATGTTTCTGAGTTTATCTTCCTAAGAGTAAACACCCAGTTCAGGGCCAGTTTTCGGAGTTTTATGCTGGTCAAGGAAGGTGTGACCCTCTCTGATCCTAAAGGAAGGTGAGTCCATAGTCTGAGGAGAGGTGACAACACTGACTGTTCAACAAAATTTCACTTGAGGAAAGAAGAATGTTTGTAGACTGAATTTTCCATGATGAGATGGGTGAAAATACCTAAATAATTAAAGAATAGCATTTGTCTATGAAGCTCAGAGTATTTATTATGAATAATTTCCTTTCAGCATAGGTACAGGTAAAAGCTCTGCAGTAAGGAAGGAGATAGGGCTCTCATTTATTGAAAAACAATGTTACAGAGGATTCTTTGAAGAATTACTTGCTCCCAGAATGGTGCTACATGGTGCTAAGCTCAACATCATCATATCCAGGGTCTTCTTGTCTCAGGACCAAAGTGGACCCTTTCTCTTCCAGTGAAATATTGACAGCTTCACCAGGAGACTGTAGAGAGATGCCTGAAACAATAAGGAAAATTCAGATTTCAGTGGTGACAAAAATACAAGACAGAGTCCTCTGGAGGAAGGAGACCAGTACAAAGTGGCTACCAAATTTGTGTGAAAGGCTAGATAGAGCTCCTTTAGACTGATTCTGCTTCTCTGTGTAGTATTGTCTTGATCTCCACAGTTTGGAAGGAGGTGAATGAATAATGACAAGGAGAGGAAAAAGACATGAATGCTCTCTTCCACATCAGTGACCTGATTTCTTAAGAAGTGAAGGCAGGAGATGACCTCTCAAGAGCACCTCAGATGACCTTGCCTCAACACTTCAATAACAGACCAAACCTGCCTAAAAGTTTCATGAGAACAGTCTGGGTCCTCTGTCAGATGCTGAAACGGAGCAGCTCAGTCAGATCCCCCTGTGCCCAGGGTCACATGCTCACATAACAGAAAGCGTAGTCCTAGGGAATGAAGGTTTTTGTCAATTGAAACATTGAGAGAAAATTGTATCTTAGTTTCCTTTCAGGGAGGAGATGTTATGAGTCTAATTTAGGGCTCTGCATATTTTGCGTTAATAGTGGGCAATGCCAACTTAAAACATTTGGTTACATGGTTCTCCCAAAACAAATTTTTATAGTTCAGAAATTTAATTTACATTGATATTAAAAAACTTTCCAGATTCCTTCTCACAATCTGAAGGAGCACCTATAATTATTGTCAGAACATATATTTCAGCTGGAGATATAAAATGGGAGCAAAGCCTCTGCTACTTGTAGAGATGTTTACATTAATTGATGGCAGACATGCACACACTTTGTTTCTCCTCTCAGAAGAGATGAAATGGCTACAATATACTGAGATAAAGAAGAGCTGATCTTATCTAAGTATCCAAATAAAGAAAAACTGACTGTCGATAGGTCCAGACTCAACTTGTCCATCACAAGGAAGTGAGGCTACTGGAGACCAAGCTGTCCACTCACCTCTTTGGGAATACCAGACATCACCTCGCTCTTTTGGGAAAAAACAATTGTCCCTCATGCCAGGGGAAGAAGGAATTTCAGAAATAGGTAATTTCTCAACATCATCATAACCATTTCCTATGGCATTGACATGTTGTCCTGGAGGCTCTGAAAACAGATAAGGATGTAGGTGAAATATCAAAATATGGTTGGACAAGGTGATGCCCTAAGTCCCTTCTAATGCAGGATTCTAATAGCTAATAAATATAGATACCATATTCCATGGTTGTCTCAAAGGTATATATTTGATCTCAATATTCTCTGACATAATTTAAATCTTTTAAATATCCCAAAATATCAAGGTCAATAATATTTTTCTAACATGGTCACTGATACAACAAAACATAAACAAAAGTTATTTTGCTATGAATCTCAGGTACTATTTTCAAGCATATGGTACAGAGTTGTAACATGTAATATGCACATATCAGTGAATAATGGAGAATGAATTTGGACCAAGAGAACCCAAGCTGTCCACGTGTCTTCTGAAGCTGTGGGAGACACAGAACTGGCAGGGAGAGGGAAGCCTGGATACAGGTCACTCAGAGATAGGAGATCCTTCCTGTCCCAGTCATAGGAGGTTTGTATTTTAATCCCCTCTAGAGTTCAGTTGACTTCAGGATTTAATCCCCAGGAAGTCTCCTGGGCATGCTTCATCCCAAGAGCTGCTCAACATTATTATCTGGAAAATATCCAGGAGAACACTTCTCTCTTATGTCTCTTATAAATAAGAGCTTGTGGCACTTGTTAAGTATAGGTACTAAGCACTCCAAAGTATTTCAGGGTTTATTGAAATCAGTTTTTATCTCAGTATACACATAATCCACTAAATGATCTAAACATTATACTATCTCAGGATCCAACCATACTTCCCAGTACTCACTCTTGATACAGAATTTTTTTTTAAAGATTTCTGTTTATATATTTTTTAAAGATTTTATTTTTGTTTATTTTTAGAGAGGAGAGAGAGAGAAAGAGCGAGAGTGAGAGAGAGAGAGAAACATCACTGTGTGGTTGCTGGGGGCTGTGGCTTGCAACCCAGGCATGTGCCCTGACTGAGAATTGAACCTGCGATGCCTGGTTCGCAGCCCATGCTCAATCCACTGAGCTAGGCCAGCCAGGGCTGATACAGAATTTTTAAGGTGATCAGTTTTAGGTGTTTTAATAAATGGCCTTTGAATCCATAATTCACTAGGTGTGTGTTTGTAACTGAGTAGGAGTAGCTGTGAATACAGAGAACTCAGTCTGATCTTTTCTTTCTGTGGTCACAGAGTAGACAGATGGAGGAAAAATTGTGAATTGGAAAGAAGGGATCCTTTCCATACTAATCGTAAGAGATGATGGAATTCTCCTCAGAAAGATTCTTCCTCTTCATCCTTATCATCTGAGGGAAGACCTACTATCTGGAGTAGAGTCAGAGTCTCCATTCCCCTCCTTGTCCCCTGTATAATACAGCAGCTTAGTCACTGAGTCATCAGACAGGTTTCTTGATAGGGAGAAAAACATACAGACAAATGGAAAAACTTTTTCCTTAGGAGACCCAGTGTCATTGTTTAGAAAAAACCTTGAGACTTCAGGCTTGTAGAGAGAGGGCTTTCAGCTCCTGGATTAGGAGGAGGTTGATTGTGTGAAGTTGAGTTGGTGGTTGGGTCTGTGCTTGCTGCAGATAACCCATGGCCAGCTCGTGAACAGAGAGGAAGGCATGGAACCCACCTGAGCTGTCTGACAAGTCCTCCTTCTCTAGTTTTATGGCGTAATCAATCTCCTGGTACACGACCTCATTGGGAGCATCTTCAACAGCAGATAAGGCTGGGGAATGTGGCATTAGTGTAGAGACTGCCCTGCAGATGTTCCTTTTACCAAGAGACAAAGCTTCTAGCACTCTGAAATGCTCATTCTTGGCAAATCCCTTGTGGGCTACTAGGGCCCCTTCTTAGCCCTGTGCCCCTTTGGGACAGAGCTAGGTTTCCCAACCCTGATTTTAATCCTATGCTGAATTCCACAGGCACTATTCACATAGGAGGTTATAAATTTTTAAAAGGAAACCTAAATTATTGAGCAGTTTTACATTCATTCCAGGACAAAGGATTCAATTCTTTCAAATTCTGAAGTTTGTTGAAGAGAAGGTAGAGTTTTGGCAGATAATAAGATGAAGATCAATATTTATGCACTTTTCTTGATATCACAACTCACCAGTTCAGTACCCTTCCCACTACTTTCCAGATCACTTAACCTCCCTACAGCCCATTATGGGGCTCTGCTCTCTGTGTAGCTGAATCCCCAGGATGGTAAGGGCCAGAAAAAGAAGAGCCCCAGTATGCTACAGAGGATCTCAGTAAGGAGGAGATACCAGAGATGAGCTGATCTGATTTGGTGCCAGGGAAGAGAAGTAGGTTGTGCATGCAGTTTTAGAGAGGTTGATCAATCCAGGAGAACACACCTTTATTCTTGTTATCTCCTGAGTCCTCAAGACCATGAAATCACCTTTCAGATACAGTGGATCTGCCTGAACCTCAAGGTGTGATCAACCCAGGTTTTGCCCTAAGCATTGTCAACCCAAACTGAACCTGGTTTTAAGGGATTTTTATACAATGGTAGCTGGTAAGGCTTTGGAGAATTACAGCTGCCACAAGTTTGTAGGATTATAAATTCCTGATCACTGGGTCTTTCCTATATGACATGATTAATTTTGCCAGAAATATGTAAATTCCATAGAGCAGGCCCCTAAAAATATGGATTCCTCTTGTATCACAGGAGATCAGGCAATAGTCCTCCCTGGAACCAGAGCACAGAATAGCGTATTAATTCAAGAAGTGCTTCTGGGTACAATGCTGGGTACAAGTGCTTCTGGGTGGGTGTAGCAACACCATTTTGATCTGTATTTTTTTAAAGATTTTATTTATTTATTTTTAGAGAGGGAAGGGAGGGAGAAAGAGAGAAAGAGAGAGAAACATCAATGTGTGGTTGCTGGGGGCCATGGCCTGCAACCCAGGCCTGTGCCCTGACTGGGAATCAAACCTGTGATGCTTTGGTTCGCAGCCCACACTCAATCCACTGAGCTACACCAGCCAGGGCTCTATTTTCTATTTACTCTCTCTTTTGTTCTTCTTTCCTACTTTCTTTTTAGTTAAATGAACATATGTAATATTCTGGTTTAATTCCTCTACCGGCTTTTTAGCTATATAACTTTACATCAATTTTTAGTGGTTCCTCTAGAAAATAGAACATGTAGCATTATCTTATCACATTCTGATTAGAGGAAAAACTGTACTAAGTCAGGTAAAATGTAAGAACTTTGCAACAGTGTGTTTCTATTACTCCCATGCCTGGTGCTACTGCAGTCATATGTATTACACCTCACATAGGTATTGATGACTATACTATATCTTTAAATCTGTAAAACTCATATAACTAAAAGTTCCAGGTTCTTCTGTGTATATTCTTTCTGGACCTCCTCTAAGTCTCATCTTCCTTGCTTTCTTGCCCACTTAGATGCAGGTTTGTGGGAGAGTGCTAATTTGTCCTCCATCAATTTCCAATAAAGAGAGATGAGTTGATGTAATTTGCTTAGAAGGCTTTATAAATAGTTGGACAAGAAATGAGGATTTCCTGAAAAATTAAGAGGAAGTGATGGAGAGGGAAGTCTGAATTTAAAAGGATTTGATAACTTTCTTGGCCATTGAGGCTCAGTTGGTTGGGCAGCATAGTGCAAACCAAAAGGTCATGAGTTAGATTCCTGGGGTGCGGGTTCAGGCTCTAGTTTGAGCTTGTGCAAGAGGTACATTTAAATAATGGAATACTATGCAGCAGTAAAAGAGAATAAATTCTTATCTTTTGCATGGATGGATCTGGAGACTATTATGCTCCAGAAGTGAAATAAGCTAGTCAATGAAAGACAAATACCATAAGATCTTACTTATAAGTGGAATCTAATGAAAAACAGAAACTGGTGAGAAAAATAGAGACAGAGGCATAGAAATCATGCAACAGACCAACACCTGTGAGAGAGGAGGAAGGAAAAGGGGACTGGTTGAAAGGAGGTGAAGGAATTAGTCAATGAACATATAAGAATAAACCATGGACATGGACAATGGGGTGGGAATTGACTGTGGGGATGAGGGTGGACTGGGTGGGGAAGGGTAAAGAGGGAAAATTAGGACAATTGTAACAGCATAAACAATAAAATATTTAAAATAACAGAGGGTAGGAGCTCCTTCTTTCTGCTGTGTAGTATTCCATTGTGTAAGTGTACCAGTGTTTTGATCCACTCATTTACTAATGGGCACTTAGGTTGCTTCTAGCACTTGGCTATTGTAAACTGTGCTGTTATCAACATTGGGGTGCATAGGTTCTTTTGAATTAGTGTTTCAGGATTCTTAGGGTATAATCCTATCAGTGGAATTGCCAGGTCAAAAGCAGTTCCATTTTTAGTTTTTTGAGGAAATTCCATACTGTTTGCCACAATGGTTGCACCAGTCTGCCTTCCCACAAAAGTGTGTACTAGGGTTCCCTTTTTCTCTACATCCTCACCTGCACTTGTTGTTTGTTGTACTGCTTATGATGGCCATCATTCCCTTCACGACAGCATGGATGAAATTGGAGATCATTATGCTAAGTGATATAAGGCAAGGGGTGAGAGACAAATGCCATATGATGTCACCTACACCTGAAACCTAATCAACATAACAGACAAACAAGGAAAATATAACCAGAAACATTAAAATAAAGAACAAGCTGAAAACAACCAGAGGGAAGAGGAGAGGAGGGTAACGGGGTAAAGAAGAGGAAGGGTCATTAAGGAACATATATAAAGGACCCATGGACAAAGCCAAAGGGGGTTAGGTTTGAGGGTGGGAGTTCAGGTTCCGTAAGGTGGAGAGTGGTGTGGGGAAAATGGAGACAACTGTACCTGGAAAACAATAAAAAAATGAAAGAAAAAAAAAAAGAGATGATGTTATGGAAAAACAGCTACCAAGATTACACAGTGCTTCCTCCCTCCCAAGGAACATGAAAGTTAGAGAAAGGCACATGGTCTAAGTGATACTATCAAACATATGAGGTCATCCAAATTTTGAACCTACAAGAAGAATGGGCATTGAGAAGTTCAAATTCATCCTGTCTAGGTCAGAGACAAAATACGACAGAGATGAATTAATTCCACTCACCTGTCTGAAAAGCTCTCACTCCATTCTCCTCTGGGAGTGCTTCCTGCTCACCCATCTGAGAGGCAGAAGGAGCCTTGGGCACTGGTAGCTCTTCTGCATCATCGTAACCCTCAGCAAAGGCATCAGTCCTCTCAGCTGAGGCTTCTATGGGCAAAGGGATCAGGTAAAACCACAGTAAATGGGTTGGTTTAGACAATACCTACAGTCCTTTCTGACCCAGAGATTCTGATGGTTTCTAAACAGAGGCACCATTCACACCATGCTTTAACGGGTCTTTCCAAGACCATTTAATTCATTTCTGTGTGCCAGGAAACCAGAAAATGATCCAAATATGTCAGTATTTCTTGATTAAAAGTAAAAATTTATCAAAGGAACTCTGAAACTGGAGACTGTTACTAAAATATTATATCAGGTTATACTTTCCAGATGTTATTTTTAAAAATAATTTGTGCTCTTGTGACTGAATGAGGGTGGTTGTGGACACTGAGAGCCTAACCCCATAATGGGGCATTGCAGAGCTGCCAGAGAAGAGGGAGACTGGAGCCCAGTAAGACAAAGGAACCCTCTCATCTCAGTCAAAGGGAGACTATTCCCCCTGGCTGTCATCTGTGGGGGAAGTTCCCTTGCCCCCAGTGCCCAGCCAGGACAGATCTACCTCTCCTACCTAGAACAGATTTATAGTCACTATTTTACTCACCATCCCTGGTATAATATGGCAGTTTTGTTACTGAGTCATCTGACAGGAACTCTAAAGTGGAGAAAAACATCATGAAAACAAACAGAACAATCCTTTCTGTGTCCAGAGGTTGCACAGTAAGGCCAGAAGAAATGATGGGTTAGAATGGTTTTGTGGTGTCAAGGGAAGGCTTGAAGCTCCAGGGACTGTGGACAGACTCCTCATGCCTCTGTGAGCCTGGGGTATATGTGGGGTCTGCATATGTTGAGAAAACCAGGCTCCAAGCCAGTGGATGGCTGAGAAGTAGAGGTTCCAGGAGGACAAGGCAGGGACACTCACCTGAGCTGCTCAGTAGATCCTCTTTCTTTGGTGTTACAAGATAGTCAATCTCCTCATACACAGCCTGGTCAAAAGCGTCTTCAAAGCTGGATAAGGCTGAGCAAACCACCAGCAGGTCAGAGATTGCCCCCTGACAGTGCTGAACCAACAGGATGATCCTTCATTGTATTTCCACTCACACTGGAAAAACCCTCACGGTTTTCAGGGCTCCTGTGTAGTCTTATGCCCAAGCACCATGCCTGCACTTTTTTCCTTTGTCTAATCCTGTATCCAAAGGTCAGCTCCTACTCTTACCGGCCTCATATAAAAAGCCATGACTTCGGAGTGCTCATACCCCACTCTCTAGATTGTCTGTATATTCAGTCCTTAGTGGGTAATGAGGGGCAGAAGGATTTTGCAAACTAATAGAGTAAGAACAGATACCTTTCCCAGTTTCCCCTTGGCACCCCTGCCCCATTTCCTGCCTGAATACACTTTCCATGTTACACAGTACCCCATGCAGCTCACCTCTGTGCTCCATTCTCCATCTGTGCAGCTGAATCACTAGGATGATGAGGACCAGGAAGAGAAGGGCCCCCAGGATGAGGCAAAGGATCCAAGGCAGGGAAAAGACACCAGGGACAGGCCTTGGGACAGATCTGGTCCCTAAAAGAACAAAGCCAAGAGGATTTGGAGCAGGGCATATGTACAGTTAGTCTCACTTACACCAACATTTCCAGAGAGCTCAGGACAGTGAAGTACCAGCTTCCAACATAATGGGATTGACTGCCACCCTGGTGGGCACTCTCTCAGCCCATGTCCTAAGATAAATTCAACTCCACTCCAGCATCATCCATGGGAATGCTGGGGGTTATCAGGGAGCACTGGAAGTACAAGAATCTTTGAGGGCCAGGGCACAGCTTCAGCCCCTTCTCTTGGCCTTCACCAGACTAAAACACCAAACCATCTTGGCATAGGTGTCGGCTGCTGAGGAGCTACAATCATGGGCAGGTGAAGAAATCCTTAGAACCAGCCTCCTATGGCCTGAAGTCATGAGAAACTTCTGGCACAGTGAACCAAGGAAGGGGAAGTTTGTCCAAGGAAAATACCTGATAACTCCCCAGTACCTAGTTACTCCTTGGGATGTTTCTTTTCTGAGTTGGCTAATTCTGTCAGAGGTTCTATAGAATATGTCCCAAGAATTTGACCATGGTCTCACACCCATGGATGGTGGCACTGTACCTGCTGTAGTGGTTGGCAATGTTGTTCTTTTACCTAGAGAGAAAAACAGGAGTTTGGAGCACAGGAATTGGCCAGAATGCACGGTAATTCACTTTTCTCACATAAGCCCTTCAATCTCCCTTTGGTTAGCATAATATCAATATTGTGTCCTCCCAGTTCCCCCTTTCCTAATCCAGGGCTTCAGCCCCTAGGTTCTTTCTGAATACCAATTTCCCATCTCATCTCAGCCCAGCTCATTGCTGTGCCCCTGCTCCAGCTAAACTGGAATCCAATCCACTCTCCACCACTTACCAGAGCACTTTACTCCAGCGTCCTCCTTGTGCTTGCAGTCACTCTGCCCCCAGGGCTGTGCAGCACAGGCCCACAGGGAGGACTCCTTGCCCCTGCAGTGCACCTCATCCAGCCAGATGTGCCCTTTTCCTGGGCCAAAAGCTGCCTCCTGTAGGGCTTCCAGGGCAGAGCCACAGCCCAGCTGCTGACACACCACCTCGGCCTCTGCCAGGCTCCAGGAGTCATCACACACTGTGCCCCAGGAGCCATTGTGCCAAACCTCCACTCGTCCTGAGCACTCAGTGTCTCCATTCCTGAGTCGGAGCTTGTCCCTGTCTGACAAGGCAGCAGGACCTAATGTTACCTCCCCTGGTGGAAAGGAAGAAGCCCACAGGGGAGTTGTTATTGACTCATGTACCTGTGCAGGGCCCAGCAGAAGGACAGCTCTTGGGTTTCATTCCTGCAGAAGCAGACAATGGGGAAGCACTGGATCAGGGAAAGGTGGACATGGTCTTGCCCCACAACAAGATTATTTGGTGCCCTAGGCTCAGTTCAATGAAAATTGAGAAAGCACAGGACTTATAGATAATCTATTGGCCTGAGTTACTGAGTCATTCATTGGACCCTAGCCTCTATCACTAGCTGAAATTACTTTATCTGTTTACTTGTTTATCACTCTCCACATTCCACTACAAATCCAAATACAAACATACCCCACACCCCCACCCCAATGAAAGTTCCCCTAGAGGAAAAACCTTGCATTTCTTATTCACATCTGTGTTTCTGCTATTAGGACACTGCCTGGCACATTGTACACATTCATTCAACAAGTAAACATTGAGAATCTTCTATAAATGCTATGTTAGGAGCTTGATCAACAGTTATTGAATGAATCACTGCATAAGATCCAGTGAAATATAAATCTCTTAAATCTTGCTAATCAGTACAATAATAAAGGAAATATAAATTAATATTAACAACATGTGGTAATAAATAGTGAATGTTAAAAACAAGTAAGTCCTAGATTACAGAAATAATTTGTATCCAATATTGCACTTACACTTTTAAAAGGAAAATTATGCAACACACTTTTAACTTTCCTTTTAATTTTTTCAGTGTGAAAAATGGACAAGCAAAAAAGAGACTACAGGGACAGGACACACTTTTTAAAAGGACTAGAACAATTAGAATTTAGAGAAAGATAGTTTACTAGCTAGTCAGGGAGACAAAAATGTGTCTATGAAACTCAAATAAATATACTAAGAAGAACTTTATTAAGCAGACACAGAGCAAAAATACATGGAAAAATTGAAACAAAATAAATGGACACAATTCAAAACAACACAAGTAAACAGAAGTATATACAGTTCTTGCCATAAAATGTCAGTTTGGTCTTACCTTTCCATCTCATCCTATCAAACCTCCTGCCCTATGCAGAAAACATCTCTGAAAATGATGGCAGGACCTCTCTTGGGTGGTACTTCAGGATTCAAAACATCACTAACCCTCAGTTGTTGGGTTTGATTGTAGAAAATTATTATTGGTATAAGGACTTATAGTTTAATATTTCTTCAGTCTTTCAGAAGAGTAAGATCATAAAGATGAAGAAAGAGAGGCAAGGAAGGGAGTGAGTCTCTGCCTATAAAATATCTATTTCTCCCTGCTGTGGATTTCTGGCAACTCCCATCATATTGTCCAAAGTATACCTGAATGAGGTGTAGTGTGGTGGAGGGGAGCAAACGAAGGGTCAGGAAATAATGTTTAGGGGAGAGAAAACACTGTGAAAATGTAAAAGAAGGGAGGAAGAGATGGAAAGAAGAGAGGGAGGGAAATAGGGAGAAGGAGGAAAAAGAAAGCAAAGCAAAGCATCTGTTACCCTTATTCAGACTTCAAGTAGAATGAGACTTGTGGGCTTTGTAAGCGTATTAATTTTGGAAAGTCTATGTGATTTGGCTTAAGAGTCAGGTTCTGGAAAAATGTCAGCATCTTCTATCCAGATATGAAGAAGAAAATTGAAAATGATTAACCTGAGAAAATAATTTGACCATATCCTAATATTTGTGTGTATGTGCTGCTGCTTTCCTCCTGATCTAATAATATAAACATTGGGAGTAATCTTATAGTAATAAACTCACTAGTATGTAGAGATACATGATGAAAATATTTATCAAAAAATTACTTGTATAGGAGAAAATTGAAGATAAGTGGACTACCAATAAATAAGCAAGTGGTTATATAAACTGTAATACCAACTTTTGTGAATGAAATATTTGCCATTATTTAAATGAGTTATATCCACCTGGAGGACAGTGTGGTGATTGCAGTGGAGAGGAGGGGGGTGGATGAAGAAGAAGGTATAATGGGAATAAATGGTAATAGAAAAATACTATAAAATACATTATTAAAAAACCAATTTAATAATAACATGTATGACTGAATCTCAGTTTTGTAAAAACCAATAATAAGATACCATCCACAAAAATCCTTTTATGGGTACGAGCATGGAAATGCTTTAGTGAAAATGGATGAATTTAGAAAATGGTACTTATTAGTTCATTAATACTGTTTATATCCAGACAATATAAATGAACAAGTAGTCATAGGATATGATTCATTTCTCCTTTTACATTTTATATGTCTTCCCTGCTTACAGTAAATAAGCAATGTTTTTGTGATTTAAGTGAAAGAGAAAGGAGTTGGCCTTTTTCTAATCTTAAAACAAACTAGTGGAAAGTACACAAATTCCCTTGTGCCAAGCCTGGTACAAGCCCAATAGAAGCAAGTGCAGCTGATTCAGTGAAGGGACAGAGACAAGCAAAAGGGGATATAAGGAAAGGCTGGCAGGCCAATCTGCTTGCCTCCAGTGTTCTTTTATGTATAACAGTGTTCATTCCCTGGGGGACCATCAGAGTGGCAAGAGTCTCTTATGATACTTGTGCTTGGAATAAACCAAAACCTGCCTCCTGATAACCTCCATCCATCTTGTCAGGGCCCCACCCCCTGTAGCAGCTCATGGTGTGTCCCCTACCTCTTCCATGGGAAGTCCTCCAGAGTGTGAGGCCAATAACCAGGCTACATCCACTCTGGAATTTCTGCTAATTAACCTAATTACAGAATCTCCGTGACATTTCCAGCTGTTTTTACAAATGGCACATGTGCACCTAGACAGTGAAATGTGCTAGCATCACTTCTAAAGGCAGTTCATCCTACTATGGATCAATACATTAATCACTTTGGTAATTAAAATAAATTTATTTCCAGCATTGGATACAATATTCCAGCACCTTACTTCCAACTTTCTGCCCTTCACAGTTTCTCAAGAGTATTGCATGTATTTGCACCATCACCTTACGCTTTTGATATTTTTATTCCTTGTTTCTACCCTCTTCCCAACACTCCACGCTCAAAAAAGGTCTAGTTAAGACAATCAATGACATACAAGGACTTTAATGGGTACAGCTCAGTTCTCATTTACTTAGTGTCACTGTAGTATTTAACACATACGAGTATTCCCTTTCCCTTGAAACATTTTTTTTTAATCTGGCTTCCAAATGCAATATTTTCTCAGATCTATTTCTCTGTCAGCTCCAGTTCATAGAATTCTCTGCCCATTTTTGAAGTATTAATGTTCTTTGGATTCTGTTCTAGGAATGTTTATTTTCCTATGATTTCATCCACTCTGATGTAGGCATCTCTATGACAACTTTGTATCTCCCACCCAAATTTTCTTTGTAAACTCAAATTGCCTAATGACATCTATCTCCACCTGAGTGGACTTATTCACTTTGAATTTAACATACTCAAAATCTGTAGGTTTTTTCCCACAAAGTTCTGTGTTTCCCATATTAAGAAAAGGCACTGCCATATTTCTAGCAGTCAGCTTTGACTCCCACAAGCTATTTTAAGTCACCATTATGCATAGATATTCCCATACAATAATCCTCTGTTTATCTTGTACTGAAAGAATGCTTTCTATTATTTATTTATTTATTTATTTATATTTATTGATGAGAGAAAGAGAGAGAAATATCAGTTTGTTGTTCCACTTATTTATGCATTCATTTGTTGATTCTCAGATGTGCCTTGACTGGGGGTGGAACTCCATAAACCAAGAATTTGAAGAAACATTCATCCATAACAGAAGGAGGGGTGGAGATGGGCAGATGGGCAGAGAGAACCTGTTGCAAGGCAGCGGACCATACAGGCAAGGTGGGAGCTGGCTGGCTGGAAAACTAAAGACTCAAAACCTCTGTTTGTAGAATCCTGTGGGGGTTGTGAAGGTGGGAGAAACTCCTAGTCTCACAAGAAAGTTGGTTGGAAATGGGGCTAGAGATGAGCAAGTGAGCAAGTGGCATTGTTCCCTCTCTGACCCATCTCCTACAAACAGTGCCACAATGCAGCAAAGAGGGTTGCCCCACCCTGGTGAATACTTAAGACACCCCCCATTACAACACAGCAGGTACACTGAGACAAAGACATATGGCCTAAATGAATGAACAGGTCAAAATTATACAAAAAGAGCTAAGCAATGAAGAGACAGAGAAGCTATCGGATGCAGAGTTCAAAACACTGGCAATCAGGATGCTCACAGAATTGATTGAACTCATTTGAAAAGTGAAGGAAGAAATGGAGTCTATAACAAAGTGAAATGAAGGAAAATATACAGGGAACCAAAAGTGAAGGGAAGGGCACCAGGACTCAAATCAATGACTTGGAACAAAAGGAAGAAATAAGCATTCAATGGGAACAGAATGAAGAAACAAGAATGCAAAAAAATGAGGAGAGGCTTAGGAACCTCTGGGACAACTTTAAGTGTTCCAACATCTGAATCATAGGGGTGCCAGAAGGAGAAGAGGAAGAGCAAGATATTGAAAACTTATTTTAACAAATAATGTGGGAAAATTTTCTCAATCTGGCAAAGGAAATGGACTTTTAGGAAGTCCAGGAAGCTCAGAGAGTCCCAAAGAAAGTAGACCCAAGGAAAAATATATCAAGACACAACATAATTAAGTTACCCAAGAGAAAGATAAGGAGAGAATCTCAAAAGCCCCAAGAGGAAAGGAGAGTTACCTACAAAGGAGTTCCCATAAGACTATCAGCTGATTTCTCAAAAGAAATCTTACAGGCAAGAAGGTGCTGGAAAGAAATATTTGAAGTCATGAACAGCAAGGAACTACATCCAAGATTGCTCTATTCAGCAAAGCTATCATTTAGAATGGAAGGGCAGATGAAGTGCTTCCCATATAAGGTCAAGTTAAAGAAGTTCTTGATTTTTGGGGGCTAAGATGACGTCGGAGTAGAAAGTAGCAGATTTGGCTTCCCACTGCTCAGGGGAGAAAATTCTGACCGATCTATGGAGTAGAGAAGCAAGCAACCAACATACTTCAGCATAAGTGAAAATAGGGGACCAAGGATTGTGGTGGAACCCAAAAACCGGACCCTAAGAAGAGTGCTGCAACA